AATATTTTATTTAAAAAAAAAAAAGAAAAAAAAAAAAATAAAAAAAATAAAAAAAAAAAACAAAAAAATAAAAAAATAAAAAAATAAACAAAAACAATTAAAAACCACCTAAAAAATTTATTAATAAAAAAAAAAATAAATATTGGGAATAATTATGCATGATAAGAGACGATTATTCTCTTTTTTTCCAAATATAAAACAAACAATTTTTCGCGTAGCTAACTTAGTGGAATTAAACATATTTCTTTCAGAAAACCTCATTTGCTAAAGCTTCAACTCTGCAAATTTCATTAATTTTGATTACTTTCCTAAAGTTGTTAGAGTAGGAAATTAATATTTGAATGACAATTTGTGTAAAAGCCTACACGAAATTATCATAAAGCACATTCATTTATGCGTTCGGAAAAATTACGTATTTTGTACGAGTAAATAAGCATTAAATTCTACTACTGAAATTATTATGTAATTGCGTAGAAGTAATACTGTTAATTACTAATCATATACAGCTATAAAACAATAGAAAATTTGTGTTCGATTTACGTAATTCTTGCCTGATGAAAAAGCATGAAAAATATTTAATGTTTGGACGGGTTTGTGTTTTGTTGTAAAACGCTTATTTCCAGTTAAAATGCTTTGTGTAAGTGAATAAATATCTATGAATTCCCCAACGTGTTTCTTAGCCCAATTCGCTGTTTTGTCGCAAAGGTTGTTAGCCCTCTTTCCAGCCGTGAAACTGCCGCCCTCAAAGCCGCACTCACGGCGCTTGCGCATGTTCCAAGGGCTCTTCATTAGGCAAAATCGGAAGCCAAATGGTTCCCTAAAAAACAGTCCAATTAGTAGGCGAAGCACATTTTCTCTCCCTGTTATTTTTCTTCAGGATGAACAGAATTGATTACTTTTTAACATCCTCTAACAATTTTAGATGAGTTTATTAAATTGTGGAACAGTCATTACACACTCGCAAACCTCCATAAGAAACGATTGAATAACAATAAATTAACAGAGAGAAATAAATTGCTTATAGGGCCTAGTTATGTTTTTACACCTAAATCCCCATGCATTATATAAAAAAATATCTGTAAAATTTAGACATTGTGAATGATGTGGACAGCAGGATGAATTGATTGTCGTTCTGTGTCTTGGCTTTGTCATTTACCGAGTGAAATAAGTAAACAACTGAAGTAAGTTATAATAAACAATCCCGAAAAGGACCGAAAGAACGAAAATGAGCCCCGATGTGCACTAAAAGCAAGCAACGTTTTCGAAGCGCCAGCAGTTTACCTGTCCTGGAAGAGTGAGGGGCCATTGGCGTTACACCTTGTGAATATCTTTCTTGGAGTAGTTGACCTGGCTGCAGGCGTTGGGTTTGTTAGTCGCGATGGCGCAACGCAGAACAGCAGCCCGTGCGCGCGTTCTGCACGCCCGCGTCGTCCAGCACGAAGGAAAGGCCACGAACAGAGTGGCTTGGAAAATGTAGGTGTGAGGACGCCCATGGCGCGTTTTACAGGCAGAACGACTGCCACGACGCAGGATCTGAAAAGGAAGGAGGAAAAAACATGACAAAACGAAGACTTCGCACGATTAAGTCCAGTGTTGGAGAACGCCGATAAAAAAAAAGGGACTCTTTTACATGAAAGTACTATTAGGAGTTGGATAATTTTAATTCTAGTCATTCTTTGTTAATTGGAGAAGTCAAACATCTGTGAAGATTCAAGTCCAATTTTGTCTTTTGTACAGGCAAGAAGAATTTTGCACAAAGATTTCGTTACAAGAACGGCAATGGAAGTATGCCTTCATCTCTCACGGCAGTGCCACCGTTAATGTTTAAATTACTGAACATGCTTCAACTCGTTCATTGTTCGACCGCAGTCAGCCAGTGCCAGCTCTCGCGTAAAGCAGCACACCCTGCCGCCACGCAGTTCGGGCTGCATCCATTACAAGTGGCGTGTATCGTTCAGTGATTGATTGATTGTTAAAGGTTACTGAGGCGCGTCAACTTTGCTAAGGTCATTAGTCTCGTAGTGCAGTGGCATGCTTTTCCCTCGGGAGGTGCCGGGAATGTTTGCCCACTGAACGGCGAGATCCGGCGCCGACCTACTGTCGGCTAGCGGGTTTACCCAACCAGGTATCTCCCAGCAACGTGCACGTTTCCCAACCCGGAGAAGCTCTAAGCTCCCGGACTGGCCCCGGCGTGGGTTGTAGTGTTAAGGTTTTGGGCATGCGAGGCCTGTGTAAGTAAGTTGTGATGAAAGAACAAGGAAGAGAAAACATCGCGCGCCCAGAGCGATGCAGCCACCATTCAGTGACTCGCCCTCATTCCGAAGAAGCCCGAAACAACACCAAACTCCGGCCGCGGAAGCCTACGCAACCACTTTATATCATTTTGCCATCTTTGAGGCCTACAAGAATGTTGCCATCTCAACCCCCTTTATGGTTTATAAGTGTGTTTCCTTTCAGGAAATTTGAAAATTTGTAGTCATTATATTTCTATCACATGACTAACAGTCGTACGTTGTATCGTTGTATTGTTTAATTTACAATAAAAAAAACATAATATCCTTTTTTCTGAACGCTGACACAACCATGCATGATAGTGTCTGTTCTAGCGACTAAAATAAAAAAAGGGGCGCCTCAGAGCCATCTTCATCCACATGTTGGTGAAAGACTATTATCACTTGAATCGCAAATCCAGAGAAGAAAGAAATAGAGCTGATGTTGGCTCTAAATTAAATATGTAATTATATAAAAACAAATGTGTTGATGCTTATTGTCGTTTTTTGCTGAATCAATTGACTATTGGTTGTTAATGAATACCGGAGCGCTTCAACTATAAGTCATAGTCCAGAAGTGTTAGATAGTGCATGTGCCTTCCTGGGAGTGGCATAGTTTTCCCCCGCTGCTACGGCAAGATCCTTCGTCGTCCAGCGGGGTTTTCCCAACAGGAAATCCCACCAGCGTGGCACAGCCACCCGCAGGACAGGATGCAGCTCCCGGACGGTTCTCCCGGCATGTGGTGGTATGAAGGGGAAGAATAGGACAACGAAGAGGAGGAAAGATCGCCGCGCGTCCGTGGCCCCTTTTGTTACGTTACTTGCTCCGGCCACTCGCCCTGGTGTTTGGTTCGGAGAAACCCGGAGAACTACCGATCAAATCCAGTTGTCCTCCGACAGCGACCGGCATTGACCTAGCTCGCCGTGCGTGCGTGCGTGCGCTGCGTGGAATCCTCTGT